AAAAGCCCTAAATCGTAAATGCAAAATGTGGAATCCCTGTGTTGGGGGGTCCGGCAAAGAGCCCAGCAAGACTCATCACATGCCAGCTTCAAGATCCAAGAAACAGAAAATGCATAAAGATTAAAGGAATTTGGTTTTGGTTGCCAAGATAGGGAAGCCAAATCATGTAGTACATGGCATGTTTGGGCCTAGCTTGGTTTCCAGGGTTTAGGGTTTAGGGTTTTGGTATTTCACCCGAGCCAGCAGAGCATACTGCGCAAGGCGCCGCCAACCTCCCAGCCTGGGTTGCTGTTAGGGTTTCGGGTTTAGCGGTATATAGTAAATAATAGGGTTTCCCCTATATGAGCTATAGTCTAAACTCCCTAAAGGTGGGTTATATAGGGTAATATATAGGGGACTATTTTAGGGGTTACTAAGGGGGATACTAGAAGTTTAGACTATAGCTCATATGGGTGGCTGTCAAAATTATGGTCCTTTTTTGGATCCCTATTATAATACGGCCCCTAATATTTAGGGTACCCAAAAAGGGACCATAATTTTGACAACCACCCATATAGTAACTTAAATTTCCTAACAGCAACCCAGCAGGCTTTGAGCCCAACCTTCAACCTTGAACCGTTAACCATCCAGGCCTCAAAGGCCATTCCATCCTACGCCTGATATACTTATATGAGCTATAGTCTAAACTCTTTAAAGGGGACTATAGAGGGGAATATTGAAGGGGTTATTAAGGGGGATACTAGGAGTTTAGACTATGGCTCATATGGGGGTTTCCAAAAATTAGGGGTACCTTTTTGGGGCCCCTGTAATGAGGATTATAGTCTTTTGGGGTCTGTATTGGGGTCCCCTTATTTTGGGAAACTACCATATCGATAGTTCCAAAAACTTGGGTTGCCCCATATATAGACCAAATGTAGTGCAGTTCGCATATCAAGCCCCCCAAAAGGGGCCCACAATCTTTGTTAACCCCCATAGGGGACTTGTTCAAAGCTATCCCAATAGAATATTTCGTAGAAACCTGCATGAATTCTTGGGGGTCGTCAAAGGTATTCCTATGTTGAGAACCTCTATTCTCCAGTCCAGGTTCGCGGCAATCGCCTGGTCCAGGTGTCCAAACCAGCAGCTGCGCAGCTTCAGGGTTTCCTGCAAGAAGTTATCAAAAGAAAAACAGCGTTTAGAGTTTAAAATGATTCCCGTAAAATCCCTGAGGGGGCCACTGAGCCCCAAACCCCTAATGGTCCCAATGCTCAAGGCCATAGGGGCCGCCCTAGTTTTGAGGAGCATGTTTTTTTAACTCTAGCCGGCTAAGACATTGATATTAGAAAATCAGAAAATCTACTTACTAGGGCTCCCGGGTAGTCAGGTTTTGGAGGGTTGGGGATCTTGGAATGGGATTTGAAAGGCTCTGGGCCTGGATTTTGGGGCTTACTCTTACGCTTGAGGCCCTCATGTACCCAGTACATACCCTCTATGTAAGCGCTTGGGACACTAAACCGGACTATATAAGTCCAAACCTTGTAGTTTAGGGTTTAGGGCTTGGCAGCTGTGGATTTAGGCTCTGAGCAGTTTAGGGTTTGCGGTTAGGATTTTGGGGAGTTGAAGAGGCTAGCACGCATTGCTCGCATTGTTGCCTGGAAATCTACACCAGGAATCAACCCAACCCTGCGCCCCAAACTTTCATATGTTCATGAAGTGTGGATTCCAGTACCCCGTTATCCCTACACAACAAACAAACGCTCAGGAATCTCAACTTGGCGCATGTCAACTCAAAATCTGGCCAGCTCATAAATCCATAGGCGAAGCCCGATAAGTCTTGATTTGAAGGTGAAAAGCCGTGTTTAATCCTGAGACATGCAGGCTTCTCAAGAGAATGGCAATAGAATCCAAAAGTCTAAAACGAGTATGTGTGTATTGATATATGTATAGATAGATAGATAGATAGATACACATATGTGCGTGCGCGCTGTATCCCTTGAGTCTGTACAGGTCTCGAATAGACCTACTGATACTTGTACTTTATCCCCTACACAAGTCCCCTAATACAGACACCATCACTGAACTATAGTTACTGAAGCTGCATTTAGTCAAAGGTGCCACTAGCTTTCGGACGTGTTAAAATTAAAGCAGGAGACATGAACGTTCAGAATCTTTGGGGGTTAGAGGCACTAGCAACAGCGCACGAGACAAGAGGTGCAGTGAACATAACACTGGAAGGTTTGTGTGCACAGCCGTCACTGCAAACAGCACTCTGTATCAAGAGTAGCCAATAGCATAACAAGATCAACACACTGCCGAGCACGAACTATGTGTGCTGCATGTGGTCTGCTATACTCCGTAACATGAAGCTTGCAAATCTCAGGCACGTGAACACTCCGAACTTTACGGGTTCAATATGGGAAGGTATTATATACGCACTATATTCCCTTATTCCCTACTCGAAACCAGTAATAAACAAGCAACAAAGTCTTGTTTGTGTGCGGTATGTGGCCGCCAAACCTCGGAGATATTGCGGTGCAGACAGAGCCCAGAACTTGTCCCCTGGGTAAGCCTTAGTCTTGCTGGTTCTTAGTAGGGAATAAGGGAATATAATCCTCATGTAATCCCATTATACTATATTTCCACATTCCCTACTAAGAACTAGTAAGGAGAGTAATTAATGCTTTTAAGAATCATACAGCAACCTAAATCGGCAACTGCATGATCCCTTTGTATTCCTTATGCAGAATATTCCTATAGATGCTAGGGTCTGTGAGGGGTCCCCTATGTTGAGAAACACCCTTTCGCAGCTTTATTCCATCGCCGCAGAAGCCGCCGCATCAGCCGCTGCACGCGGGCTGTTCCATACAACCTCCTATCCCAACAAAGGTAATGTAGACCCGTGATGAAGGAACCTCTTCCTTTTAAGGGCCTGAATATTAGGATCACTATTATACTCCCGATTGAGGGGAGGAGGTTTATCTATCGCAGTTCTACACAAAGAAACAGGAGTCTTATTGTGCACTACGAAGCCTGTTCTGGGCCTAGGGTTTAGGCTTTATGGTTGGGGGTCCCTAGAAGAAGGATTGTAGCGTATTGGGGTCTACATTGGGGCCATCTGCTTTCGGAAAACCACCCAAACCCAAGTTAAGGGGGGAGCGGGGTTGTGAACATAGGTATCATTATTGAAATCGCAACAAGAGCGAGACCTGAGATGGCAACCCCGAGGTCAAAACGTTGAGACCCCGGTCTCCCGAACTCTAAAGCCCCCAAGAGTTTATATAAGAGCTATAGTCTCAACTCCTTAAGGGGGTTCATATAGGGGATCCTATGGGGTAGTAATATAGCGGTTATTAGGGGGGATACTAGGAGTTTCGGACTCTGGCAAATATAAGAGCTATTGTCTAAACTGCTTAGCGGGGGCTATATAGGCTTTAGGGCTCACGGTCTAGGATCTAATTCCGCTAGACTATAGCTCATATAGAACCGAGGGGTGCTGGGTAAGCCCATGCTGCCCTTTTGGGATAAGCTCTGTATGAAAATGAGCCATGCTATGTTGGGATAATTGGCCCCAAGACAGATCTGTACTGAGTAAACCCTGAGATTTGTTGTGTTGTTTTTCTGTTGTGACTGATTATGGTGCTGATATGACGCAGCCCCTCAAGCCTGAACCCTAAGTAATCCCTCCCCTAGGCATTAGTAGTGATAATAATAACAATAATGATAATAGTAGTAGTAGGAATGATAATAAGAGTAATCAGAATGATAGTCATGGAAGGAAAATGTTAAATATTGGTGGTAATATTGCTCATTCTTACTGTGGACAGCCCAGAAAAGCTTGCACTGCGATGATAGGCCTACAGCATCCGGCCACAACTCAGCCACGTGCTAGACTCAGAGCTTCGAGTGGACTATGTGACAAAGGCTTTCTTTCAACCACTTCACCGCTCTGGCATAACCGTTACAAAGAATGCTAGCAAAACTCTTTCGCTACTTTCACTACTCTTTTAGAGCTGTGACAGGCTTTACGTTGAATCTGCAGACGTTCCGCGTCCCTTATGGACAGCGCTTGTTCTTTCGTAACATACAGACCTAGTCGGACAGGAAACCTTGTTGGCGGTTAGTCGAGAAAGGAGGGCCGGCTCCCTTACGTCCTCATAATGTAGACCCGCGATCAATAAACCCTGTCCTTTTAAGTGCCTTAATATTAGGATCTCTCTTATAATCCCTATCGAGGGGAGGGAGTTCATTAATCATGTGTCTACATTAAGCTGTTCCTTCCTTCCCCACCAACCACAAGTAAGAAAAGGCCAGAGAGAGGAGTGACTGAAGGCCCACTGAAAGCATATTGGTGAGACCTCGCACAAAAACCTAGAGCAACTACAGAAAAGAATTTCCCAACAGGGGGCCTTTAGGGTTTAGGGTTTAGGGTGAGCCCTCCATGCCCTTTAAATACTGACCCCAACCAGGCCCCTCTATAGCCCTTGGATATGATGGCCCCAGTCGAGTCAATTTTGTTTCTTAGAATCCTGCTCAATTGGCCAGATGGCATTGTATCATGTTCATTGATGGGCCTAGCTGAATGCCCAAGCTTCCTTTTGATATCCCAGTTACAAGGGTGCTCACCCAGCAAACTTGACTTTCGAAGTTGTAGCTGTAGACATACAGGCCACATTTAGATTGTCCAAGGTATTTTGGGTGCCCAGTACTTGAAATCTTGTTAGGGATCATAGTACGATCTCAGGCATGTACCTCAATGAAGGTGTGTTGAAGACGCAGAGCCGTCTTGTGGGGGGTGTACCGTTTCTGCTCAAGCAACTATCCTGTAGAACCTCTGACCCAAGATCTGTGGAGATGATTCCATTTCAGCAGAGTTGGGGTTACGAGCAGGAGGAGTCGACTCCATTGCCAGTGATGGCATTTTGTCTGATCCCAGCAGATCAGATGCAGATGCCTTTTCCTCAGACTGGGGGCTTCTACCCAGCTTGGGCAAATCCCCAGGGCTTCACCCAAAGCTTCCAAGGATGCACTCAGTTCTGGCAGCCGCTGCCGATGCAGCAGATGACCCAGATGACCCAGACGGTGTCAGCGCAGTACGTGCAGGCAGCACAAATGCAGCAACTACAGCCTATGCAGATGGCGTCGCCGCAGCTTATGCAGCAGCTGCAGCCTGTGCAGCAGCTGCCGCTACAGCAACCACAAATAATGTTTCCAGCCCCAGATGTTCTATCGGATGGGCCCTGGGGCTATGCAAGCACGCCCGAGCAGTGCTGCGAACCGCAGGTGTCCAACACCTCTGTGGCAGAGGTTTCCACAGCCCCATCTGAGGCAACCC